CTTCTCGAGCTTACAGAAAAGCTCGTTTTTTTTTTTTTTTCACGTAACCGTTGCAGCACCCGTTAACATCCTGGATATGAGACTCCATGGACGCAGAGTAAACCAGGATGTCGTCCAAGTAAACCACCACGCACTGCTGCAACAAGTCACGTAAGACATCGTTTAATAAACTCTCCTGAATGACCGCAAGGGTGCGTTACACAACCCAAAGGGCATAACCAGGTATTCATAGTGGCCGGTTCTGGTGTTGTAAACGCGGTCTTCCACTCATCGCCCTCCTTGATCCGTACAAGGTTGTAGGCAGCCCTAAGGTCGAGCTTAGTAAAGACCCGTTGCTCCCTTGATGGCGTCAAAAACAACTCGGTGATCAACGGAATATGGATAAGCATTTTTAATCGTGATCCGATTGAGACCCCCTAAAATCAATGCAGGGTCTCAGCTCACCTCCCTTCTTTTTCACAAAAAAAAAACCCAGCTCCTGCTGGAGACGTAGACTTGCGAATGTGCCCCCGGGAAAGCGCATCCGCAACGTATTCCTCCATGGCCTGATTCTCTGCCACCGAAAGAGGATACACCCTGCCCAACGCGGAGGAGTAGCACCAGTTTGTAAGGTTATGGCACAATCGTATGGACGATGAGGAGGCAGGGCACCACCCGTGTGGATGGCCGCGCACCTTGTCAAACACGTCCAGGTACTCCCCATATTCAGTGGGCAGCACAGAGTCCGAGGAGGTGCACAGCACCTTAACCGGACCACGGATGCAACCAGCCCCACACCCGTGGTGACCATGAGAGAATCTCGGCCGATTTCCGTCGCCAATCAAAGGTCGGATTGTGCCTCTGAAGCCAGGGATAGCCCAAAACCACGGAGTAGTGCGGGGAAGAAATTACTTGGAAACAGGCCAATTCCCTGTGAACAGCCCCAATAGCTACCTCCACCGGCAGGGTCTCGTGGGTAACCTGCGATGGCTGCAAGGGCCTGCCATCTATCGCCTCGAGAACCAATGGAGTCTCTCGAGCCTGCAGAGGAATGGAGTACTGGGCCACAAACAAACTGTCCATAAACAAACCGCCAGCCCCAGAGTCTACCAGCGCCTGGGCCGTCACCGAGCCTCCTGCCCAAGAGAGGACAACGGTGATAAGCGGTTTATCTTTACGGGAAACCGGGGACGAGGAAACTCCACCCAAGATCTGCCCCCGACAGGATCTCAGGTGCGGGCGTTTCCCGGACGGAAACCGGACAGGACTGCCGAAAAATGCCCCCCGAGTCCACAGTACAGGCAGCGACCCTCCCGACGCCGAGAGGGCCCGCTCCCCCTCTCGGAAAGGCGAGCAAACCCCAGCTAGCATTGGGCTCACTACCAGACAAACCATCCCCAGAGGCGTGGGAGGAGAGGGAGGCACGGGTGGGACAGAAAACGTAGGCGCCAAACGGTTAGGAGGCCTCCGCAGCCGCTCCTTAAATGAAGGCCTCTCTCTGAGCCTGGTGTCAATCAAGATTAGGAAGGATATGAGTGCCTCTAACTCCACAGGCAGTTCTTTGGCTGCGATCTCTCGTCCTTCAACGCATCAGAGAGACCATGAGAGAAAGCAGCCACTAGAGCCTCATTGTTCCAACCCACCTCTGCCGCCAAAGTACGAAATTCGATGGCGTACTCGGCAACGGTTCGTGAACCCTGATGCATGGACATGAGCAATTTGGCAGCAGAAGCGGAGCGAGCCGCGGGTACGTCGAAATACCGTACGGAAGGAGGCAACGAAACGGGTAAACACGTGAATCACGGGTCATCATTCCTCTCCCATAAAGGGATTAGCCCAGGCAAAGGCCCTATCAGAGAGTAGCGAGATTAGGAAGCCCACTTTGCCCTCTCAGTAGGGAAAAGCGTGAGGTATTAATTCAAAGTAAATCCCCACTTGGTTAAGAAAACCACGACACTGACTCGGTTCCCCCCAAAGCGCTGAGGAAGAGGGCAGAACCAGTTCATACCTCTGGGTACCGCGGGTTCCGCAACAGATGCAGAGGTAGGTGCAACAACCGAGCAACAGTGGGAGAGTCCACCGGAGTAACAACTGACCTAATAGCCCCAGGGGTAAGGTGCGCTGTGCGTGCAAGCAGAGCCTGCAACGCCTGAGCGAACTGATCCAACAAGCGATCCTGTTGGTCGAGTCTGGCGAGTAACATAGGGATCGAAGGCGTACCTGCACCGTCAGGATTCATGGCACTTGTGTAATGTCAGGGCAGGAACGATGGATATGGGGGGCAGGCAGGCCTATGGTACGGTCACGCTGCGACTGACGACAGCCACTACCCACAGACCAGAGTCCCTCAGGGCGCGGGAGTCTAAGCCCCAGGCTACCCTATCACCAGGGCCCCTGATGGTGGGGATGGACTTGACGCAGCCTGAGACCAGGTCGCGGCCCCCGAGTGACCCCAGCTGCGATAACGACTGCCGCCCAATGGCGTACAGCTGGTGGGAGCTAGATGGGGATCACGAGTAGAGTAGTTTAGTTAGACAAGCCGGGTCAATAACAATGGAGCAGACAGTACTAGACGGTAGGCAAAGAAGACTCAGGTCACGGGCCGGGTTCAACAATGGGAGGTCAGATAAAGGGTTAACGCAGAGAGTAGTCTTGTCCAAGCCGAGTCGGTTACCAGGAGAGCAATGGGGAACAACACAAGAGCTTGCAACAGGGCAACATACAGGACACAAGTGCAGAGCACACTTGCAGACAGCAGGTTTTTTAAATGTGCTCAACCACACCCTTCTGAGGAGGACCGCAGAAGCCTGAAGGCATAAAGGTTCCCACCATGCTTTGCAGAAAACCAAGATGGAGGCCAGCTCATGGAGATGCACAAGCTCTGAAGAAAGGTAGGACCTTGACACCGGTCTAGAGACAGGTCTGTCTCCTGACCCCACACACAGCCGAGGGGGCTAGTAGTGACGCGGAGACCCTAATTGATGATGATGAGGCTGATCGCACTTGGCAGCCTCGTCGTCATCAGGCTATTGCTTCTGCATCATCAGGAGAAGAGGGTGCCAGCTTGCCAGCGAGCAAAACAGTCGGTGGGTTGCCCAGGAGGCAGCAGGTCGCAGCAGTGTCAGTGGATGCAAACGGCACGGAGTAGAGCACCAGCTCCACTGCAGCCTACCACCACGGCCAGTAGTGGTGCCGGTGTGCACGGAGGAAGTAGCAGTCAGCCAGGGCAGGGCGGGGGCAAAGTTTCCTACTCGGCGGTGTGGCAATTTTTCGTCAAGCCGCCCGAGGAAGTAAACGTAGCCGTATGTCGACTATGTGGCCAGAAAGTCAAGCGTGGCCAGGGGGCCCATGTTGGGACTACAGCGTTGCGTCAGCATATGCAGCGTCGCCATTCGGTGGCCTGGGAAAACCGTGATAAAGATACGGCGGTTCTGCCTGCCCCAGCCCCCGCTCCATCACCCGCTCCGTTACTTGCTCCGTCACCCGACGTCAATCGCCCTCTATCAGCCAGTCAAGGCTCCAACACCTCTGCTGAGGGGAGTTGTCGGTGCTGCAGTCCCTCCCTTTCCAAGTGGTGGACTCAGCACCTTTCCGAGAAATGATGGCTTGTGCCGAGCCGCGGTGGAGAGTGCCAAGCCGGCATTTCTTCGCCAAAAAGGCAGTGCCAGCCCTGCATTCACATGTAGAAGAGATGGTGGGCCAGTCTTTGAGCATGTTGGTCTCTGCCAAAGTGCACGGCAGCGCCGACGTGTGGAGCTGTAACTACGGTCAGGGACAGTACATGTCATTTACGGCCCACTGGGTGAACGTGGTGCCGGCACAGCCGCACCAGCAACTTGGACAGGTCACGACGCTTTTGCCTCCACGTTTGCACGTCCTTGGTCCAGCAAAGATGTCCGCCTCTACCACCTCTTCTTCCTTCGTGTCCTCAGCTGCCACCCCCCGTGCCAAGTCCCATTACCCGACCGGCATATCACATGTGCAGGGCGCAACGGTGTCACGCTGTGTGCACCTGGTATGCCTTGGCGAACGTAGTCACACAGGGGAGGAACTTCTGAGTGTAATGAACAGAACAGAGAAATCGACAGATGGCTGTCTCCGCGCAAACTGAAAATCGGAACCATGTTGACCCGACAACGGAAAGAACATGGTGTCTGCTCTGCGTCAAGGAAGGTTGTGCCATGCGCCATGCATGGCTCACGTGTTCAATCTGGTTGTCAAGCGGTTCCTAAAATCCACCATCCCACTGCAAGACATCCTTAAAATGTCACGTAAACTTTGCATGCATTTCAGCCATTCCTACACCGCAAAAGCACACCCTCCTTGAGCTGCAGCGGCAGAACGGAATTCCACAGCATCGCGCCTGATCTGCGATGTTGCAACAAGGTGGAATTCAACCCTACATATATGTTAGACCGCCTTTACGAACAGCGAAAGGCCATCACCGATTTCCTGATGTTACAAGCAGATAAAGGTACTCCCCTGTGTAACTTAGATGTCAGCCATTGGCAGCACATGCGTGACACCTGCCGCTTGCTCAGGCCCTTTGAGGAGGCCACGCTATTCGTGAGTCGGCAGGACTATGGGATGAACGACGTCATTCCTCTGTTGCACGTCCTGGAACAAATGCTGTTAACAATGGCTGGTCAGGGTGCGGTAGACGTGGCGCACAGATCTCAACGCCACATGACCCCTGTGGGGGCAGGACAGGAAGAAGAGGAGGAGGTAGAGGAGGACATTGGTGCTCAGGAATTATTGAGTGAAATGGGTGGTTTTTCCACTCAGCGGACAGGAGTGGAGGAGCAGGAGCATCTGGTAGAGGAGGAGGAGGAGGAGACAGAGGACCCAGACGCACCGTGGCAGTATGCTGTGGAGATGGAGGCAGGGAGTCCCTCGCATTCCTTGGCACAAATGGCCCATAGCATAGTCATCTCCCCACGCTGCTGCTGGGGGGACTTTTTAACATAGGCCTCTGTATGGCCTTCAACAATTTTTAGCTGCTTATGCTCCGCCACTCTGCCATGGGCCCCTGTACCGCCTCCTCATGCTGCTGCCAGGCCCGTAATCTGCCATGGGCCCCCGTACCGACTCCTCATGCTGCTGCCAGGTCCGTAATCTGTCATGGGCCCCTGTAGTACCCGCCTCCTCATGCTGCTGCCAGGTCCAGAGTGTGTCATGGTCCCTGTACGGCCTCTCATTGCTGCTGTCTCCATCGCCACACTCTGCCATGTGCCACTTTCAGGTCTCCTCACACTGCTGGTGGGTTCCATTTTGTCATAGGGTGCTGTATGGCCTCCCATTGCTGCTGCCTCCACCGCCACCCTGCGCCATGTGCCTGTCGTCTGCTCACGCTGCTGACGGCTTCCGCTTTTTAACCGAGGCCTGTGTTTGGCTTCCGAATACTGCTGCATCCACCGCCACCCTGCGCCATGTGCCTCTGTCGTCTGCTCACGCTGCTGACGGCTTTCGCGTTTTTAACCTAGGCCTGTGTATGTCTTCCGAATACTGCTGCCTCCACCGCCACCCTGCGCCATGTGCCACTTTCAGGTCTCCTTACACTGTTGGTGGGTTCCATTTTTGTGATAGGGTGCTGTATGGCCTTCCATTGCTGCTGCCTCCACCGCCACCCTGCGCCATGTGCCTCTGTCGTCTGCTCACGCTGCTGACGGCTTCCGCTTTTTAACCGAGGCCTGTGTTTGGCTTCGTAAATGCTGAATACTTGCTGCTGCCTCCACCGCCACCCTGCGCCATGTGTGCCTCTGTCGTCTGCTCACGCTGCTGACGGCTTCCGCTTTTTAACCGAGGCCTGTGTTTGGCTTCCGAATACTGCTGCATCCCTCCCGCCCCCCACTGCTGCTGCCAGGCCCGTAATCTGTCATGGGCCCCTGTACCGCCTCCTCATGCTGCTGCCAGGTCCAGAGTGTGTCATGGGTCCCTGTACGGCCTCCCATTGCTGCTGTCTCCATCGCCACACTCTGCCATGTGCCACTTTCAGGTCTCCTCACACTGCTGGTGGGTTCCATTTTGTCATAGGGTGCTGTATGGCCTCCCATTGCTGCTGCCTCCACCGCCACACTGTGGCTCCACACTCACTCTGGTTTTGGCCCCGTGACTGCCCAAATGAGTGAAGTGTGCGGTGATTCTAAGATCGACGGCACTCATCTGCATGTCATACTGACTGACAGTATTAGTTCTCTTCCCCAGCAGACTCCAAGGGCATTTAAATTAAAGGTACAGTGTTCTGCACTAATATAAAGGCTCTCTGAAGCCTAGAAACACCCTTTTTATCAGTTAAATTCGCAGCGAATATATTCGCCTCGAATCGAATTTATTCCGCGAATTCGGCGAATCAGCCGAATCGAATTTTTGAATAATTCGCTCATCTCTAATATACATCATACCTGGTGGAATCCCCTGGAAGCTGGAAATCACTGAAACAGACATCACTACTCTGAATGGCTGCACTTCTATTCACTGAACACAGGAGGCTGGCCACTTGGCAGGGGCACCATTCACAGAATGCTTTGCAATTTCTGAATGAATGCAAAGCATTCTCTGATTGGATGAGATGAAGAGTGTAATGTAACAACCCTTCCTCTCCTCTCCACCTTGTCTTAGTGGTGCTGGTCTCACCCATAGCTGCCAGATGCGCCTTGCTATTGGCCTATCATTGGGATGACTACCATTACTAACCAAAAGTAAGGTGTATCTGATAGGAAGAGACAAGGCCAGCACCGCCATCCAAGAATTTAAGTGGGTTTGTGATGGGGACCATGATGTAAGGGGGCACTCAGATGGGGATATCTGATGTAAGGGGGTACTCTGATGGGGATAACTTATCATATATAAGGAGAACTCTGATGGGGACTCTGATGTAAGGAGGCACTCTGATGAGGACACGTCTAATGGAAGGAGGCACTCTTTCAGGGACCCTCATGTAAGGGGGCACTTTTTTGGGGACACCTGATGTTAAAGGGCACTCTGATTGGGGACATCTGATGTAAGGGGGTACTCTGATGGGGCCATCTGATGTAAGGGGGCAGTCTGATAGGGACACATATGTAAGGGGGTACTCTGATGGGTACCCTGATGTAAGGGGGCACTCTGATAGGGACACTTATGTAAGGAGGCACTGTGATGGAGACCCTGATGTAAGGGGGCAAGCTGATGGGAACCCCTATAAAAGGGGTACTCTGATGAGGACTCCTAATGTTAAGGTGGACTCTGATAGGGACACTTATGTAAAGGGGGTACTCTGATGGGGACCCTGATGTAAGGGGCAAGCTGATGGGAACCCAATATAAAGGGGTACTCTGATGAGGACTCCTAATGTTTAAGGGGACTCTGATAGGGACATCTGATATAAGGGGGCATAGATTCTATTTAATCATCCTATTCTAATGATAGCCAATCACATACTAGTGTTTCCCAGGTCATGACACTTTGACAGACTGTCAGTGACACACACAGTGTTGACATTCTGCCCCTTGCCTTTTTATTACTGCACCCCCAGATCAGGTAGGATAGATCCGGCCCTGGTCCCCATGGAGTCTTCTCCATTATGCTTCAGTGGTCTATAGTCCTAACGTGAGGGTTCATAGCCCTGCATTGGACTTGATGACATCGAGGGACAGTCCACCACCAGAGTGTGGGGAAGCGCCTTCTGCCAGGGGAGCTGAGGATCAGGTAAGTGAAAAAACGTCTCCTCTCCCTTAGTTAACCATTGCAGTGCAGACAAGGTGTTTCAAATAAAACGTTAGCACGTCCCAGAGTAAGGTGGGATCCATTTCCAGGTCGGGTCACCTAGTGCATCAATCCAGGGTTGCCAGATCTTATAAACATTTTGGGGACAAACCCTACTGTTATGATATTTAAATGTACCCAGCAGGGGTGGACTGACAACTCATGGGGCCCACGGGCAATAGGGAATCATGGGGCCCCTGTGTCCTTGCCCAAACTCAAAAAAGCCTATGAAAAAGGTACCAGGGGCATCTCATGGGGCCCCCTACTGACCACGGGCCCTCGGTCAGTGCCCGAGTTTCCAAATGGTCAGTTCGCCCCTGGTACCCAGGAGATCATCAATGAGCCTCCTTATCATGCTATGAGTTTGAATGGTAATAAAAACAGACAGATGGTCTAACCCTTTCCTACCCTATCCAAAACTAACAAAAGGTTTTGAATGCAGTTACAATTTAAAGTGGAACTTTAGTTAGAAAAATAAGTCCTGCTAGATCACTTCATGCTGGCCTCTTTTGCTGGTATAGCTATTTAAAACATTAAAAAGGAGTACCTATACTGTTTAAAATCCAGTAATACACTGCCTCATCCTGCTCTGCACATGCTCAGTTGCTGTCTATTTTTTGGCACTGTGCCAAATATCAGAAGGTCTACTTATAGTCTAAAGATTTACTGCTGCTCAGTGGTTCTGGGTTTCAGCAACATGGCAGCCTCCAGCAAGAAGAAATGGTGGAGGCAATTTACAGCACACACTAATGTTGGTAGCATGGAATGTATGTTCCCTGCTAAAGAACATTATTTATGGGTAAAATTCCACTTTAACATAAGCGTATCCTCCCCGATGCACGGGCGCCTTTACCTTCTAATGTAGGACAAAGAGGACAGTCATTTCCTGTCTTAAAATAAATTAGTATATAAAAATTGATGACTAAATGTTGCTCGTGTGAAATCACATGCTCATGGTGTAGAGTCTGAATCTCAGTCACCTTTGCCAAAAACAGCTTGCAGCAGCTGGAAATAGCGAAGTCACATTATGCTGAAAGGGCACATTAGCTGTGTCTTGTCTCAGGAAAATGCAGAGAGACGCCATGAGGAAAGATGCCAAGAAGGTGAACTTCTACCATGAAGGATAACCCCAGGCTGCAGGTGAGGATGAGCAGCGTTTGCCCAGATCAATATAACTAACAATCTGCCAACAAATCAATCATCTGGCTGCCCTCTTATATCCACACATTAAGGCTTTCAATAGCTGTATGCTGTGGTGGTTGCATATTTATCAACAAAACATTTTGTAGAAGGTAGGCCAGCAGAGGCGCTACTATTATAAAGAGATGCTTGAGAAATTGGGATTGGTTTGCTAAAGGCAAATAGGCTGTTTATTTTGTAAGGGAATTTTCCCCACAACTTAACCACTTGCCTGCCAGGCATTTTTACCCCCTTCCTTCAAATGGAGCTTAGTTTTGGTGGTATTTAATTGCCACTGGGGTTTTTATTTTTTGCACTATAAACAAAAAAAGAGTAAAAAAATAAAGGTTTCCTTTGTTTTTATTATAAAATTTTGCAAACAGGTTATTTTTCTCCTTCTCTGCACTGATAGGCAGCACTGATGGGCACTGATAGGTATCACTGATGGGCTGCACTGATGAGGTGGCACTGATGAGTCGGCACTGGTGGGCATTGATGAGGAGGCACTGATGATGCTGCACTGATATGAAGCAATGATGGGCAATGATGAGGCGGCACTGATATGTATCACTGATGGGCTGCACTGATGAGGGCATTGATGAGGCAGCACTGGTGGGCATTGATGAGGCACTGATGCTGCTGCACTGATATGCAGCACTGATGGGCAGTGATAGACAGCACTGATAGGTGGTACTGATGGGCACTGATGGGTGGCACTGACCAGCGGCATTGACTGACATCACTGATTTGGCCGTGTGACGAACTAATGCCTGACCCCTGCCCTTCTCACCAGCTCGTGACAAAGGACCAGCCAATCTCACACCACACTGTCACTTGTGTAACAATGCCACTCTCCGCTGCACCCTGCACAAAGATTTTCCAGCTCATGGGACCACAGTCTAGGTGACAGCAACCTGAGAGTGATTGTCACAGGGGGTTAGGTTAATTACACAATTAACCCTTCAAACTCCAAACTGCCACCAGATAGCTTTGGGTCTATCAACCCTTCACAATATTAGCAAGAACAAATGTGAACAAATCTGTAACACACATTGTCACCACAGACAGGTATATTCAAAGGATTATTACATACAGTAGCACGCTTCAAGAGACAGGGATTCTTTAGTTCGCATTAAAAGCTTTAGAGACAGGTTCAACACTTTTCAAAATAGGGTTTATTACTAAAAAGTTCAAAATGCTGCAATTAAAATATTTAGAGAAAGGGATGTTACAAAGACATAAAGAGAACAATAAAGCAACAGAGAAATAAAAGAAAGGAGTTAAGAAGGCAGAATACTTGCAAAGTTCTTGGTTTTAGCAGAATCTATTTGTACGAGCAAAAACGTTGCCTTTTCTCTCAAGTCTTAAGATGTTCCTTGGTTGATGTTAAACGAGAGCTCTCTTATTATTATTATACAGTATTTATAAAGCGCCAATAGTTCGCTCAGCGCTGTACATTACAGAGGGGGACAGAACATGTGACAGAACAATACCAATACAATGCAAAACTTGAGGGGATTGAGGGCCCTGCTCTTTCGAGCTTACAGTCTAGAAGGGAGGGGATGGTGGCACAGGAGGAGATAGCTGTAGGGGATGGAGTGGTAGGAAGAGTGGAGGAGGTCGGCAAGTTAGCAGGGAGTGGGGTAGGCTTCCCTGAAGAGGTGGGTTTTCAAGGTGCGCCTAAAGGAGAGGAGAGTAGGTGATAATCTGATGGGTTGGGGCAGGGAGTTCCAGAGGATGGGTGACACCCTGGAGAAGTCCTGGAGGCGGGCATGGGAGGAGGAGACCAGGGAACTAGAGAGAAGGAGGTCTTGTGAGGAGCGGAGTGTGCGTGCTGGGCGGTACTTGGATATTAGGTCAGTGATGTAGTTCGGGGCAGTATGGTGGACGGCTTTGTACGTCTGCGTTAGGATTAGATCCGGTTTCCTTCTTTTCTATGATATCAAAAGGGTGTGGCCCAAGAACAACTGACCAATCATCCGGTTCAAGGGATAGGTGCTGGGAGGTCACCAAATTTCTGACCAAGCCGCAACTGCAGTTTCATACTAATATTACAACTTCCAATACGTGCAAGTGGTATTCTAGCAACTGGCAGATTGTTATTCAGAATTATATTTTGAACCCAGGGATACCAAACTCAGCATACCGTTGTCACCCAGGAGGGAACAGACTGTTTTCTCCCTTTTCCTATGTGCTAACATAGTCATGCATGAGTTTGATTTGTTCGGTATGATATTCCCTATTCAAATATATACCTAATATCAATGTGCCCTGTTCCTGTTGAATTCTATGAATTGTATGTGGAATGGTTACATGTGGAATAGACGTTTTAT